TCGTGGTTTTTAAAAACCACGCTAATTTTCCTCGGAAATTATCGAGATGAATCAGTTATCTTGGGTAATCTTACTAGTTATTGCTATAGCAATAAATGAAAGAACATATATGTTCTTTCATATCGGGACAAAATACGGGAAAATTAATCTCCTTATCCATCGGGATAAAAATTTAATCGCGATACTTTTAGCTTCTTGTCGAGATGACCCTTTTATCACGATAATACTCGATAAAAATTTATTGGAGTTTATCGCGATACTTTTGCTTTTGGAGATAAAGATCACACATACAGCGATAGTACTTTATCAGGATAAAGTCCGATAAATATTAATCGCGGTTTATTGACATACTGGTATGTACAACGCTAAATGACTTGTATACCGCGATAGTTTTGCCTACTGCGTTTTATCGAGAGACTGCGATAAACTGCACTCACTTTTATATCGCGACAGAGTTGCTCATTATCGCGATATTTCAGCACATTTAGCATAATATCTCGATATATCGCAAGTTTTCAACAAAAATTACCCTCATGGGTAGTATTTGCCAAATCTTACCATAGACAGCGGAGCTAACGGGCAATCTCCTGGTAGTTTCATAATTTTAGAAAACACTTTGGTCACAGAATTATGAGCAAACACTGATCGTAAAAATAATTTTTCCCGCCACTGTAAGCTCCCCCCCCATAATCTTTTTTTCTCTATTTATAGCATTATAACGCTATAAAACATGCTTTTTCTTAAGTTATGGTATTACAATGCCATAGATTTATCGCATTACAACGTAATAGACGTAGCCCGACGTGTTATAATGCGTTGCAAAGTTGTTTTTCCGGAATTTATGGCGTTGTAAGTGGATAGAAATTTTCATTGGATTACAACTCTATAAATTTATAACCTTGCCTTTCAATTTTTTATCTCGTTACAATGCAATTAGATTTGTCTACCGCCTTATAATATGTTAAATTCTAATGTATTATATGAGTGAATGCGTTACCTGTGGACAAATCGTATACAGTAATATATAGCGGAATGTTTCTGGCTCATTTATAACGTTTTATAGTTTATCTCGATCGAAACTAGCACCTGTTCTTACACCTAATTACATTCCGAATGCTTCTTACTTATACCTTACAGATTTTTCTAGTCTACACGGATTCGCAAAAACGATATAAAGAAAGAAAGAATTCGAAACCAAAGTATGTCTCGGTGGCGATGAAATAACAATCGCCACCAATTCATCGGCGATCTGCATGTTCTTTCAATGCAAAAACGATGGCTTTTGAAACAATAAACGAAAATTTACTTGTACGTTTGTCCTGAGGTCTTCATACATCGGTAGAATAAAGTTCTGATACACAAAACTTCAAAACTTAAATAAAAAAGTTCAGCTACGTGCCTTACCGCAATGTTTTGATAATAACTCGTTATAGAAACAAGATTTCGAAAACTTTTTTGGTATCATAAAGCCTGGTGACTTAGCTACAAACTCAAACAGAAGCATTTTCCTCGGTACTAGAAAATTCACAGAAAGGTGAAGTCCGCATAACAACGGTAATCGGCCCACTAACAAATAATAAATAATAATAATAATAATTGTCCTTTTTCTTCATCGGATTGAAGTTAGGGACGAGAGAGTTAAACGCCATTCGATCTTATTTTTTGATTTCCTTTCCCACTGTCCAACTGGTATCTGGGGTTGAGTG